CCATTCTAGGGTTAATTTACGGCGAGGCAAAGCGCAACGCTTGCTTAACATCACAGATTTATTCGGAAAGATTTCCGGATAGAGTCACACCTAATCCAAGAACATTTCAAAGGCTTGTGGATGGTCTTCGGGAAACTGGCTCTCTTAAACGTAAGAAGAGGACTGTGGTAGAAAAGGGTGCTACACACGAAATTAATCAGGCCCTGGTACTAAACCTTGTGGAAAACGATCCACAGGTATACATGTGTTCAAGAGATAAGTCGTCAATGTGGAGTTACGAAGACGTCGGTTCAAAGACTGTTGACCTCTATTCATAGATATCACCCATATAATATCGACCTGCACCAAGAGTTACACGGCGATGACTTCTTCCATCGAGAAACTTTCTGTGTATGGGCTTTAAAACAAATGCATATAAATGAGAACGTCTTTCAAAATGTATTGTTTACCGATGAAGCAAGTTTTAAATCATGCGGAAATGTCAATAAGCATAACGTGCACTATTGGGCGCCAACCAATCCACATTGGATGCGACAAGAAAAAAATCAAAATCGTTGGGCACTGAACGTGTGGGTAGACATTATAAATAACCATTTAATAGGGCCTCTGTAGAGACATTTCGTTAATGAACATTGTGGGTAATGATTTGTGGATGCAGCAGGATGGGGGTCCAGCCCATTACTTCAGAAATGCGACAAATGCTGCCCACCAAAAATTTCCTGAAAGATGAATAGGTCGTAATGGTCCGATTTGCTAGCCGGCGCGTTCACCGGTTGACACCGATGGATTTCAAATTTCAAAAAATGCCCAGGAGTGAGAGGAGTGGGATCATTAGGGTCATCACTTATGGGGTAAAGTGGACGGGAATTCATGCATGCCTCTACCTGTGCCAAAATGGTATTAAATTCATCAAAATTTAAGTGACAATTTCCAATCACTCTTTTCAAATGTGACTTCATAGTCACATTTGATAACATCATTTTTACATATTTTACATCATTTTATATATTACATATTTTACATATTTTTACATCATTTTTAACAGCAGATTCCCACAAGCCACCAAAATGAGGGGAACCTGGAGGAGAAAAATGCCAGGTTATGCCAATTCTCGTCAATTTTTCTGTGATATTGTCAGTATTAGATCTCAAAAATTCGTACAACCTTGAGAGTTCATTTCTAGCACCCACGAAATTTGTTGCGTTGTCAGAATATATTTCTAAACACAGACCTCTTCTTGCAGTAAATCTCTTCAACGCTGCCAAAAAAGCATCCATTGTGAGGTCTGACACCAACTCAAGGTGCACGGCCTTGACGGAAAAACATACAAATACGCATACATAAGCCTTGATCAACCTTGTGCCACGTGTTAGTCTATCCTTTAACAAAAATGGTCCAGCAAAATCTAGGCCGGTTACCGCAAATGGTCGATTAGGACTTGCCCTGTCACGCGGCAAATCTCCCATCTTATATTCATAAGTTCGTGGATGAGTTTTGAAACAAGTATTACACTCCTTCATTGTTCTTTTTGCTAAAGACTTGCCTCCAACAGGCCAAAACCTTTCTCTGATTGTTGAAAGAAGCGTTTGCGCACCACAATGTAATAATCGTTCGTGTTCGTGCTTAAATAAGAGATGCGTGAATTTATGCTGGCGTGGCAATATACACGGATGTTTCTTTTCATAAGCATAGCTCGTATTTGTCAACCTGCCACCTACTCGTAAGATGTCATTTTTGTCTAAGAGCGGACGTAATGGTAAAAGTGCACTTTTATTAGATATCTTACCNGCTAAAGACTTGCCTCCAACAGGCCAAAACCTTTCTCTGATTGTTGAAAGAAGCGTTTGCGCACCACAATGTAATAATCGTTCGTGTTCGTGCTTAAATAAGAGATGCGTGAATTTATGTTGGCGTGGCAATATACACGGATGTTTCTTTTCATAAGCATAGCTCGTATTTGTCAACCTGCCACCTACTCGTAAGATGTCATTTTTGTCTAAGAACGGACTTAATGGTAAAAGTGCACTTTTATTAGATATCTTGCCTCTACTCTTCAAGTCTCGTCTTTCACTTTCAAAACATTCTTTCTGCACTATCTTTACTATATAATCGACTGATCTTTCTACTTCAGTAACATCTAATTTTCCCGTGTCCCTGTGATTTGTATGTTTTGTATTGTTAATAAATCGTAATACGTAAGCGAATACATTCACAAGAGTGTTGAAACTGGAAAATCTTTCAAAAATGTCTAACCCTTCCTGTTCTGTCACAACCACATTCACTCTTTTCGTTTCCCGTTCCATACTCTTCTGATCTACAACGAATAATTCCTTTGGCCATTTGTTTTCTTCGTATTTTAGCCAAGAAGGTCCTTCAAACCACAATGTAGACGAAGTAAGTTCATCAGCAGTAACTCCTCGTGAGATAATGTCTGCCGGATTATCACCTGACTTCACGTGATGCCAGTCCTCTGTATTTGAATTGGATTGGATTACTGACACCCTATTAGCGACGAATGTCTTCAACTGAGTACTAGTTTTAGTAATCCAGTGAAGGACCACCATAGAATCTGTCCAATAAATTTCTCTATTAATTTCCAACGACATTGATTTTTTTACTTTTCTCAGCAGCTTTACTAAGATTGTAGCTGCACATAATTCAAGTCTTGGCAATGTTAATTGTTTAATTGGCGCGATTTTCGACTTGGCACACAACAGACGTACGTTAAAATTTCCACTTGAATTCTTTGTACGAACATATACACACGCACCGTATGCTCTCTCACTGGCATCAGAAAAGCCATGTAGTTCAATTTCAATCGGATTATCTCCCAAAACACGTCTTGGTATACGTATGGCTTCGATGTTTGGAAGCTGTTGTTTGATGAGTAACCAATTTTCAAGTATGTCTGTAACTGGAACTTCATCCCACTCGGCACCGCTCTGCCATAACCTCTGCATAATGATTTTTGCAGATATAATTATTGGGCCTAACAAACCCAAGGGATCGAAAAGGCGCGATATGGTCGAAAGTATTACTCTTTTCTTCGCTACTGCGCTTTCGTTCTCAATTTTAACCTTATATTGAAAGCAATCCTCCTTCGGATTCCAAAAAATGCCTAATACCTTTTCTGACTCACTGATTTGAATGTCTTTCAATGTCTCTGCTGTATTGGTATCATTGATATTTGAGCACCATTTACTAAGTTCGAAATTTCCCAAAGCCAGAGTTTCTGTTACTCGTTTTTTATGCTTGTTAACTCTTCCAAAGTTTTGGCTCCTGTAAGCAAGTCGTCTACATAAAAGTCCTGACGTATTATTTCTGCGATTACAGGGTCAGATTGTTCAATGTCATTTGCCAATTGGAACAAACATCTGATTGCGAGGAACGGTGCACTTGCAAAACCGTATGTTACCGTATTTAACTGGAATATTTCTATCGGTTGATGTTTCTCGTTTCTCCAGAAAATTAATTGATAAATACGATGTTCAGGCGCTATTAGCACTTGGCGATACATTTTCACGATATCAGCGGATAATACGAAACGATGCCGTCTAAATTTTAACATTATAGAAAAAAGATCATTTTGTATAGTTGGACCCACATATTGCGTGTTGTTTAACGACAAACCGTTATGTGTCTTTGCTTGCGCATCACACACCACTCTTATTTTTTGATTTTCAGCATCACCTTTGAAAACAGCATGGTGTGGAATGTAATAACCCTTTTCTGGGTCAATTTCTGATTCTTTGATCTTGGCCATATGATTTAGATCCGCATACTCTCTCATAAAGTTCACATACTGTTGTTTCACAAGCGGATTTTTATCCAATCTTCGTTCTAAACCTTTGAACCTTTCTAACGCATGTTCTTTCGATTGACCGATGCAATTTATCTTGTCGTTAAATGGTATTTGGACCACAAAACTTCCATCCTGGTTTCTCTTAAATGTGTTCGCAAATTGATTTTCACATATTTGTTCTTCCAACGAGAATGACTTCCCGTTTTCTAAATTTTCGATCTCCCAAAAGGATTCTAATTGTTTAGTCAATGTTATGTCAGTAATACACACAGTTGATACCTGCCTTTCAATGTTTTCATGGTCGCATGAGCCACCCAATATCCACCCTAATTTTGTTTCGTACAAATTGGGTCCGGATTTATTTTTTATGTTTCCCTTTTGTAAGACATCCCAGAATATATTTGCACCCAGTAGCACATCAATTTCTCCACCATCCTGGAATTCTGGATCGGCCAGCATGATATGACCCCGTATCCTTATATCAACGTTTGATCTGAGTCTTGGTAAAACAGCGGTTACATGAAGCAAAATTACACAAGTCACTTCCCTCGTGTACCTTCGTGTTTGACTTTCAATTTTTACAACACATTTTGAATTAGTCTTTGACACCGAATTGTTTATTCCAACTATATTTGAATTACAATGAAATTTATCAACGTTCAATTCCTTTGCTGCTTTTTAAGTCATGAAACTTGATTGACTGCCAGTGTCCAGCAAAGCACGAAATCTACATGGTTTATTGAATTTGTCGCGAATTACGATCAGAGCAGTCGATAAAATGACATACTGCCTGTAATCGTTGACTTCATGGTGTGTGATACAATACTGGTTTCAACATCATCTTGAACCGTGTCACCATTTTTCTCCCTTTCAGGGACCATTGACACTTTATAATGTAAAAGTGTGTGATGACTTTTGGAACATTCCCTGCAACCTTTGGACTGACAGGTTTTGATCCCGTGTCCGAATTTCAAACAATTAAAGCACAAACGTAATTTTTTAGCTTCTTCTTGTCGTTTTTGAGAAGACAATTTTAAAAAATTCTCACACTTGTATATTACGTGATCACCTTTGCAACTTGCACACTTGCTATCACTGTTGGTGATTGCTGCATTAGACCTTATGCTGTTTTGAGGTCTTGGACTCGATATTTTGGATGTAGCTTCTAAGATTTCACATCGTCTTTTCAAAAATTTTCTTAAATGCTCAATGTTGGGTTCAATGAATGCTCAACTTCTACATCGAATTCTTGCCGTTCTTTCCTACTGCTAGGATCTAGCTTGTTAACCACGATATGAATTATGAGCACATCCCACGTGTGAACTGGTTGACCAAGTGATTCCAATGCACGTAAGTTTTTGTTCAAAGTATCCAACAACTGACGCAATTTTCCGTGTGATTCCTTTTGCAACGATGGAATTTCAAAAAGAGACGCGACATGATTTTGTATTATCAGTCTTTTGTTTTCGTACCTTTCCTTTAATAGATCCCACGCAATCTGGTAATTGTTTTCAGATGCTGACAACGAACTTAAGGTATGCGAGGCTTTATCTTTTAAAGCTGCACGCAAATAATGAAATTTTTGAATGTTTGACAGTGAATTGTTATCATGCACCAGTGCTACGAAAGTATCTCTAAACTCAATCCATTCTTCGTAATTGCCATGGAATGTTGGCATGTGAATTTGGGGTAATTTGACATTATTTTCTACGTTACCACTACTAATATTACTCACAGATGTGACCGCAGCAGTTGTATTGTTATTTGCGATAGAAAATTCTTTTAAAAATACTCGATATCAGCAACGATCTTAGAATGTGAATTTTCGAATAACTCACGTTCGTCAGAGTCCTCTACACCCTGCTCTAACTCAATCATAGTTTGAATTTCGTCATATTGCTCAAAAACAGGTCTGATTTTCTCTAATTTTATTTCTAACTGACGTAAATCGACGCCAGTTGGTTGTTCTTTATTAAAGTTCTCGAAATAAGTAACCAGTCTGGTCACCTGGCCCTTTAGATTACCACGTTTCAGCAATAATTTTTTCTTTTCGTCAGACATTTTGGCGAAATGTAGGCACACACACACATATGAAAGGAAACGGTAAAAAGGGATAGCGTTGGGCTTACCTTGTTTTCTAATTCGACCACGTGTCTTTATTCTCTTGGAGCCTTGATGCCGGCACCCTCGTCTGTACCAAATCCCTTTCGAAGGACCAAAATATTCGACACTTTCAATGGACTGTATATGTAATTGTTCTGATTCTGGATTTGATACACAGAAACACACACTTTTCTTTATTTTAAAATCATTTATTGTGAACAAAACGCTTATGGACGTTCGCCATCTTTACTTCGACAAGAATGAACACGAATACACCTGTTTTTAGTTGTTTCCTTAAAAACTACCGTACGCATGCGCCTCGATATTCACAGCGATCCTCAACAACTATGATTCATGGTACAAATAAATTTTTTCCAACGCCATCTTCAATTTCAAGCGACTATTAGCTTTTGTTTTTCAAATTGCTCCATATATTTTTCTTCACGTCATTGGATAGAGATTGTTTTTCTGAATCCATTGATGTACAATACATCCATTTTGAATGTAATTTTAGCAGAGATAAGACATCCTGTATATACAGGATGATGACTGATAAGTTACAGTCGTTTTAATCGCTTCATTTCTACGGATAAGTTTGTTACGATTAAGCGGAAAACTTAGGGACAGCTTTAAGCGATTAACATTCTGAGACGAGAACTACCGGAATCCCTTCAGACTTCAGTACGCCACGTTGAAGCCAGTCTGGAACACACACCAGCACCACTTTTTCCGATTCAACTGAACCCTTCTCTTCCCGCGAGGCTTATTTCTGTTTCTTTTTAATTTATAGCTCGCGTAAATTGTTCTAAAAAAAATTAAAGCGACAAAACTTTGAAAAATTGTTAACAGGATTCGACAAACACAATTATTTACCATATTTTAGTTAAAACCGCGTTAAAATCTAACCAGCCGTTTTCGAACATACCGCATCCTACTAAACCGCGATTTTCTGCAAAACTATATGGAATATCGAAAAAATTAAATATGCACTTCATTAAGAACAGATCAGGGTACCACCTGTTCAAATTTGATTTCTTTTCATCAGATAGTTTTCGAGAAAAAAAATCGCAAAGTGGGCTAAGTTGCCGGCACCGTCAAAAATTGGCTACTTTTTTCATTTAACTTGCGATTTTAGGAAAACCGCGGACTCAAAAATTTTCAAATTCACATATGTTACGTAGAAATGTTCAGTGAATACAACAAAGCTAACTGCAATTTTTTTATCGGCCGGTTCTCGATATATCGATCTTTAAACTGACCAGAATTGATTTTTCAAGTTATACCGAGATTTATTTAACTGGAGTTTATATAGCGACTGAAGAACCGGCCCTAAATCCTCAATCAGAAGTGTACTCATCCACTTTCTGTGTTTGGATTGAGAGTAATACATTTTTATTATTTAAATCTCGGATTTTCCTAAGACATAAAATAAAATAAAGTGTACATAAAAGTAGGTACTTATGCGTTAGTCTAATATTAGTTCTTTTAAGGTTTCCTTTAAAAATATATTCTTCACTTAAATACTATATATTTGAAAATAAATTTCTTAAGGTAGTGGTAGTCGGAAATATTTAATTTTAATTTCACCATGTTATTAAAGATAAATCATTATATTTGTGTTGAATAAATCGAATACATAGTGTTATAATAATAATTTTTATACAGGTGTCCCGTTAAGCGTACGGAGCGGCTGTATCTCAACAACGGTAAGGCCTAGAGGTTTGGGAAGAAAATCCTTATAAGCAAAGTGGGCAAGAGAAATAGTTGAAAATTATTTTGAAGTTCGTAATTCGAACTCGACCGCGAGGGGGCGTAACTGCCATTGTGAAACATAAAATTCCCGCTATCTCAGAAAGATAGACGATGAGCTATAACGTTGACAACATCATTTAGTAGCTTGGATAATACCGCATCGCTTTTGTTTTGCGATATTTCTCATATCTGTCATAATAAGGGAGGGAGAGGCCAATGCGTTTTCAAATGTTTACATTTTAATATCTCCTGAACCATTCAACCGATTTGAATATTTTTGGTCTTGTTTGAAAGAGCATTTCATGCTCTTTTAAAAGATTTTCAGCAAGACCGCTTGGTTTAAAACAAATAAGCTAGAGGGCGTTATCTGCAGCGGTTACATATTTTTGTGATTTTTGAAAAAAAGTTATATGGAACGGTACTATTTACATCACAGACCGTTAATCACCATAAAATTTGCTAAATATTAGTGAAAACCGCATCTCGATATCTCCATCCATTCTCGAATTATAAAAGAAAATGTTAAAAATTCGTATCACTTAATCGGATCAAGTTACCTTAGGAAACAAATAAGAGAGAACAGAAATTTTATTATCTAGAACCTTCCTTCACACTTTATCCAAGCTTAGAACTGCTTCAAAACTACTTTTGAGGCATGTTGAAAAGCCAACGGATCAATGAAACATCAACAATGATAATAAAACAATAAACCAAAACACTTAGAATAACTTAAATTTTTGACAAAAATAACTCACTAATGTGCGAAATGCCTTCCACAAACCTCGATGCATTTATTTAATCTAGTTTCAACGAAAAAAAAAACGCTGCTTAAGACTCGGCCCTGGACACGTTTCTACTGGTATTTAGTGTTTTGTCATATTTTCCCGGGTTATTGGTGTTTCTTGAAAAGTCAGGTCGTTTAGTCTATCCAATAGATAAAGGGGTGAAAGCAATGTGGGTTTTGCTCGAACCAAGAAATGCATATTATGCAAGTTTACATCAGCTTGTGGACAGATGCTTCATGCATCCATATGCATTTGTGATAAAAGGTTTGGATTTGCCCAAATCATATTTAAAAGTCAATGGTAATAGTTCAGTCTGTTATCATAATCGGTATCTGTTAAGGCCTGATGTAAAACAACGTGGTGGAGATATTATTCTCTTGAAAACTCTTGTCGACAATTATTTTCGGAGTTCCCAGATTATGTGGGATCACATTGCGCACCAATGTGATTTACGAATTCATAGAGATGTCTGAATGGGCTACACGTTGCCAGTTTTCCGTAATCGCTAAGTCAATCTTAAAAACACTTCTAGAGAAAAATTTCTTTCTTTGTCGTAATTGCATTGCACATTTTTGCCATGCAGTTGCATCGTATTCGAAACATTGTAAATAAATCATCATACGCTCTATCATACGCTTCTGCGTTAGTAAATGACATGTTTACAGTTACCATGGTTATCTGATTTGTTTTTCTCGATGAGGTAACTGGATCCGATTGATGGCACTCGAGTTTTTAACATTTTCTTCTATAACTCGAGAACGGGTAGCTATATCGAGATGCGGTTTTCACTAAAATTTAGCAAATTTTAAGGTGACTAAGGGTCTGTGAAGTAAATAGTATCGTTCCATTTAACTTTTCTTCAAAAATCACAAAAATATGTAATCGCTGCAGATAACGTCCTCTAGCTCATTTGTTTTAAAGCAAATCTTACTGAAAATATCTTTAAAAAGAGCATAAAATGCTACATCTATATCCTTAGACAATCGCAGTTCCACTGTTTTTTGATTTAACAGTTCCATAAAGCCTGAAAGGAATGTACACTTATCTTTATTATATGTAGATGAAAAGACAGTGTTTATATTTTTTAAATATTGTGGTACGCAAATTATTTTCAAGTTTCTTTGACTTGTAGGACATTAGAAACGATCTACTTGTTTGAACACTAAAATTTAAATTTTTAATTTTCTATAACTTTTGTGTAGTTCCAGCAATGAACTAGTACACATATTATTTAATCTTGATCATAGTGTATCTATGTTATATATTTATTTTATTAAAGTTACTGGGAAGTAAATAATCTTCAGATAATTTTGGACTTAGTTGAAAAGATGACTGTCCTCATTGGAAAATTATTTTTCTACACATATGTGTTGGAAACTCAATAATTTTGTTATTTTGTAACTTTGATGTTTATAAAAACGTATAGGACATTAAGAAAAATATAGACCTTTTCGGTGTAAGTGAATGAACTTTGATTTCCCCAATTCGCAAGGCCTTGATTACAAGGACCCATATCGGATGTTATACCTAATATATTTAAGTTTACTTTCACTTCGTAGATGTGACAACGTGTGTTCTCACATCTGTATGTTGAAGAAGAATTATCTAACATAAACACTGTTACATTTCAATGCATAATGGCGACATACACCACGTGTATCTAATAATCAATCACAATCGTTACATCTTTACGATCGCTAGCTTTGAAAATAAATTATTATTATCATAATTTAACATGAATATGTTTTTGAATTTAACATAACCAATGTGTTCTGCTTCGAGAAAGTAAAAATAAAACTCATGTAACAAACTCTGTTGAATTTAAATCTTCCAAACAATTGCTTTTGTAAAAAATGTTATCAGACTTTTTTCTGCAAGCAAATTGTTCGTTCAAGACATCAACAAGAAATCGTTCTTCACAGTCTTGGAACCTGTGAAAGTTTAGCGATCTTTCTCATATACAAAATCCAGGTATTTTCATTTTTTTTGTGAAAATTACTTTCTGGGTTTAAATTAAAAAAAAAAAATTTTCTTAAGGCCGTTTTTATAATAAAGCAATTAATGTTGTCTTTAACTTCAAGAATCAATAGTCAATAGTTCGAGAGTCAATAGTCAATACACAAGTTTGTTAACTAAACATTCATCTAAAGCAAAAGCTACCGAAAATAATAATTTAATGTTCATTTCGGCTAGACATTGGTTTACAAGTAATTAGCTAACGTTTAATAATGATAAAACAGTATCAATGACCTTTTCACTAAAGCACACAGATAAAAGTTTGGATTCTGATGATAGTTTCAGATTTCTGGGCGTGCATGTTGACCCCGGACTTACCTGGAGTTTTCATGGCGAAGCTTTAGCTTCTCGTTTAAGCTCCACAGCCTTTTTGTTAAGACGTCTTTCTGAATTTTCTTCTACGGA